TTTCAACCATCATACCACCTCTTCCTCTTATCTGACCACCTCTCATTGCACCTGGACCACCTCGCATTCCAGGTCCACCTATCATGCCACCTCTCATTGCACCACGCAGAGAAGCTTGACTACCAGAACTGTTGCTTTCAGCAATAGACATGCTATCATCCATCTTTTCTTCTTCTGGTCTCTCTTCTGCAATAATAGCTTCACTGTCTTTATTCTCTTCATCTGTTTTTTCAGTCTTAAAGAAAAGAAAATTACGCTGTTCAATATATCAATAATCATACAAAAAAATCATCTGACAATCGATTGTTATTAATATCCTGCTCTTGAAATATCAAAATCAGATCAATTGTTGAAGTACCATATTTTCAATTTAATCAATTCACATTTTAACAGAATCACTAACAACAAAACCGCGGAAAAAAACTTATGTCAAACAAGAAAGAAGGAAAGAAATATGAAGAAACAACTATATTTTACAAGGATAAGTTAAAGATCCTTTCTACTAGCTGGTCCTTAGCATTGATTTTTCTCTGATTATCTGTACCCATTTACAGCTGGGTCGACTGGAATTATGAGTGAAGATTACTTATTCAAGGTCATCACACACATGCCGATCGAGAATGAAACGATACTATACCACATGTTGTGCAGATGTGTCACTCTTATTGCCCTCCAAGTCTTTATTTTCTTCAGATCTACAAAATTCAAAAAATTCTAAAAAAAAAAAACTCTAAAACTTGGTATCAGTACGATCATGATAAATATCTGGTGTCTTGGAGTCTAAAAATGTAAAAGCCATTATACTAATATTATTTTCCTCAATTAAAATCTGTGCAGTCAGTACACGGTTCATGAAAATCGTTTGAAATAAAATTTGAATTAGAATTAGACACGCGTATAGCTTTATTATTATCTAAACGTGGCAGATCGATTTGTTAAGTCAGGAAAAATCGTTTACCTGATATTACATTACATGACCTTCACTCTACACAAATGAAATTGAGATTCACAAATCTTGTTAAAACCTGAACCAAAACTAAAACTTACATATTGGTTTCTTCTGCTGGAAGGCCTCCTGTTGAATCTGGTCTATGGCCACTTCTCCCAGAGATATGTGGTCTGGGTCCTCCACCTCTATTGCTTGGACCAGAAAAACGCTGGCCAAATGGTGGTCTCTGTCCACCTCGTATACCAGGACCTACAAATCTAGGACCTCCCTGTCCACCAAAATGAGGACCCTGACTATCACTTTCTTGTTCAACTTGACCACCTGGGCCTTGATGTCTTGGTCCCATTCCACCCCTTCCTCTAAATGCACGGTTTTCTGGTCCCATACCCCGTCCACCCCTCTGTTGAAATTGCCCTCTTCCTCTTCCCCTTCCCCTCTGAACTGAAAACTGATTATCATGACCAGCTTCTTCATTATCATTAGGATCGCCCTCTGCATCATCTGCATTGAAGTCCATTAATGATGGTAGCCCTTGGTTTCCCCCACCACGACTACCAAATCTGGGTCCATGGCCTGGAGGCCCAGAAAATCTTTCACCTTGTGCTCCACCAAATCTTTGTCCTTGAACTTGAGGCCCATTAAATCTTTGACCTTGAGGTCCATTAAATCTTTGTTGTTGGCCTTCAGGTCCACCAAATCTTTGACCTTGTGGACCATTAAACCTTTGGCCTTGAAACTGCTGGTTACCTCTGCCTCGTCCTCTCATATTTCCACCACCAAAACCCTGATTGCCTGATTGCATGCCATTATTTTGATCATCCTCATCTAGATCCATATCATCATCAGCTATGTTCTGTTGAGCAACCCAGTTGCCTTGTGATTCCCTCCCTGACCAGGAAATCGATGGTAACCAAAATTTTGATTATAGCCTGGAAACTGATTTCCTTGCTGATGATTTGTTTGATTCATCATGTTGAATTTTCTGGTCTGAATTTCTGTTTTTCTGCCCTCCATCTGTTGTTCATACTGCTTCCACTGTTGTTCATACTGTAGAAACTGCTCTTGATTTGGATGGTCTGAAATGATAGTCAAAACAATCAAATAATTTCTTCTAGTAGTATCAGCTGCAAATTACAAACTGAGTATTATTACATGCTAAATCATTTCAGTTTTTAACACAGGCACAACTCTGTTCAAATCCAGAAATATTTTTAAAAATTCTACCTTTGGTCAGCACACAACAATAATCTCCTGTTATTCAGAAAGACTGTAAATAGTCACGCACGCAATTGTCTGAAAATAATTTTTACTATTTCACTGAGATATATTTCAAATCAGTTATTAGTGTGTTCTTTGATTGACAAGAAACAGCAAATTGTTAAGAATTCTGCAAAAATACACTTATGAAAAGCAGAGTTTTAAACAATCACAGTAAGAAGCCATGTTGCATTGTTTTAAATCTAGTTTGAATTGACCAATATAATTTGTAAACAATAACAATACTAATTGTACATTGCACAGACTAATAAGAAGGTTTATAGTATTAACAATATATGACAATTCTATTTTGGATTGGCAATAAAACCAACCTTATTTCAGGCTTGCAGTTTTTTTAACTGAGATATGTATGGTATTGTCATGTTTATATCACCAATGAATAAACAATTCATATCTTATCACCTACCCCTAACAAAAATTACTCATATTGGATATATTCATTCATGTTTTTGCAATAAATAATCATAAACACTGTAGGACAAAAGTAATTAAAAATAACACTATCTCAGTATAATGTATTTCAATACATCAAAGTATTGTGTTCAATGATCTTATATATATATATATACCAATAGTGTTCAGGACCTGTTTAGGAGGGTGAGTTATGAATGTGTAGAATCTTCACAGTAACAAGTCTTTGAATGATTTTTAAAAGGCATCTTTAGATTCGCAGTTTTCCCATAAAATATTTTGGTTTCAGCATAACGCATGTGTGAAAATATGCCATTCGCAAGTAAGGACAAAAGGGACTACACTTTTCGAAATAATGGGGCAATCAAAAACACATAACTTTTAGCCAAGTATTTTTTTTTTTTAACTGACCAACTTCAATGCATGACCAATTCATCTTTGAAGATTAGTGCAAAAATATAATGTGACGAACCATTTCACCAGATATATTCACCATGATATGAAATTTTACGAGGAAATTTCTTAGAAGCACTAACTTTGCTTATACGCCTCACCCCAACTTCTAAAATGTTAGCATCCATTTCTCAAGTCACAGTCCTGATGAAGATTTTCTTTCAAGCTTCATAAGATAGGCTCTTCCCAATTAATGCTAAAGAATACTTGATAAATAATGAGAATTGCAGTGGTTCGATTCAAGAGGTTTGGAACAGTTTTCCAAAAAATGCTGTTACAATTTTAGTTATCAAAGGTGTTCCGGACTTGGAACAGTGTCCCAAAGAAACTTGATACAGATAACTGTGATCTGGATATTACAAAATATTAATATTACAATATTACAGACAGACAGACTTGCATAGGAGAAGACACATAAAACATATTGTACATTTAGAGACAAGAGTATGATGTCTAAAATACAAGCTTACTTTTATTTTGTTCTTTCCAATCTTCATACTGTTTTCTCCAATTTCTATACTGTTCTTCAAATTCTTTTTCTTCATTTAATACTGCTTGGTATTCTACAGTCAAAATCATTCAGTTATATAGATCTGGGACAACACATTCTTATTTCGACTTTCAATGAATTCTTTTACGAAATATGTAACAATCAATATTCGACATTTGTCCCATCTAAATGAATATACACTTTTATCTTCCCAATGTTTATCACCAGCAAAATTACACTGCACCTAAAAGTCTGAAATAAAGTCTTAAAGTCTATGTGGAATTGCAGGCCAAGCTATACAGTTCAGTAAAAAATAATCTACCATGAAAATACTAACCTGGTGATTGGGTCATATTATATGTTGCATGTTGCTGATTCTGTTGCCACTGGGCTGCTTGTACTTTAAGCATATTCAATTTCTCTTGTTCTTCTGGACTTACAACTACTGGTGTTGATTCCTGCAGAAAAACAGTGTTATTTTATTTAATGTCTATGTTTTAACCTTTTTATCCAAATGTCATATTAATAAATCATTTTACAGAGTTTTGATTTTCTATGAAGGAACATGTCATAGAGAGAAAAGCTGAAAAATGTCAACCTTGGGCTTATCTTGTGGTGGCTCTGAGGGTGGCTCTGGTGGAGGCTCATCTGGTAAAGGAGGTTTCTCATCTTTAGGAGGTTCTATTGGTGGTGCTGGGTTAATCACAGCAGTTTCTGTTGGTAAAGGTGGTTGAGGATTTCCCCACTGACCACCAGTTTGTTGTTGTTGCTGTTGTTGTTGCTGCTGTTGTTGTTGATAATACCATTGCTGTTGTTGTTGTTGGTAGTTCATATTACTTTGACCTTGCCAGTTTCCAGCACCAAAACCTTGCTGAGTGGGCATGACGCCTCGCATCGGTTGCCAATTTCCAAACATTGTTAGTTTTAAATGCCTTAAAAGAAAAATGAAAACTAATTATCCAAGAAAAAAGAATATAAGCATCTCACATTGTTAAACTTACAAGTTAAAAGCTGAAACTGTACAGCAGTACCCTGTATGTATTTACACATAACAGTACAATCTTAGCACATGTGTTAGAATCGAAATTTGGCAATTCTCTAAATGTGAATTCAAATGTCAGCTTCAAGATGGAATTGATAATCATCAAATGACTTTGTGTTGATAAAATTACAAAATTTTGTAGGCTTATATTGAAAAGAAACAAATGCTTTCCCTGTATTTTCGACTGAGTTGATTCCAAATCTTAACTGATAACAAATTTTAATGTGATGGCGGTACTGATTGTTTGTGCTCCTCAGTTATAAACATACCCTGCCTAAAACTTGGTAGGGACTGCATAAAGAATGGATTGGAAAAAAATCAAAAACATTCACTTCACACATTATGATGTACAGTGGTGTAAACTATTTTCGTGGATATAAGGATTCGTCAAAGTTAAAAAAACGAAACTTTTATGTCCTAGATGTTTCCTCAGATATTCAACAAAATAATCAAAATTGGTTCGATTGGTTCGAAGTTCGATTTTCTTTATGAATCCTTCACTTTGACCCATATTTCATGAGCAACCAATTCGGCAAAGGTGGCAGATTGCGTCACCTATTTTCATGTACAATGTTTGATCTATAAATAAGAAAAACACGTTGTATGGATACCTGGTGGTACAGTCAAGTACCGGTAACCTAATTTCGTGGAAACCTATTTTTCGTGGATTTTCGGAAAGGATTAATAATTTACTTGTGCGACCTCGCGTACATAACGAGATTTATTGCTAAAAGTCACTGAAACAACATAAGATTATGGTCCACTTTGTGTTCCATAGAAATTTTCTTCTGACACAGAATCCGCTAGTTGATCATGTGACTTCATTCGTTGGACTACATTCTAGCAGACAACACTTGGAATTCCGATTACCGCTTGGGATTATAAGGGAATAAAAAATGGTCACGTTTGGTAATAACTGAAATCCACCATTTTGTATTTGTCAAAGTATACATTAATACATTTTACCTTGCTTGAAACTACTGGATTCATTCTACTAGCTGATATTGTAGAGAAAACCCAAGTTTATCAAAACAAACTAATGCGGAGGTCGCGCAAGGTCGCTCATGTAAATTATTAATCATTTCCTGAAATCCACGAATAATAGGTTTCCACGAAATTAGATTACTTGACTGTACTACTCATGTTGCAAAGTTTACACCGAAGCACCTCAAAAATTTGTTTCTTTATTGTGCACTTGTTAGTTCATATCCAACCCAAATTAAGGTTTGTAACCTTGGAAAAAAAGATTAGGAGCTTATAGTGGTACTATATGTTACCGGTATCTGAAACCTTGTATAGTAGTTTCTCGTTCATTGAGTAGATTTTACTCTCATATTTTCAATTAAAGAATCAAACTTACGGTGAAGATACGTTGCACTTGGTTTTAAAAATTGTATCGTTTATTTCTCCCAAACCTCTTTTGCCCAATCTTTGTTGAAACCATTAATGTATATTCTTTGAAATATTGAACTTCAACAGACACAATTAAACATATTTTTGAACAAGATGGAAGTTTGATATTTAGTATGAAAAAGAAAGATTATAGCTTAGAAGCAACAGTTAATATAATGAAGTGCATAAAGATTGAAGTGCCCTCTAGAGAGATAACTCTTGTCTAGCTTTGTTCGATTGCTAGGCCTTTGTCAAAATTCCAACCCACTCATAGTAATTCGATCCAAGTGAAGTCATTTGAACATAGATCAGTAGGCCTATACAGTTCTATGATTTGACCGACGATGAATCTGATGGCGGGATCGCTGATTGTTGAAATATGACCATTTATTGACATTTTTTTACCTGTACCCTTATCAATAGAACGTAGTGTGGGATAGACGAATCGAACATACCCTTGTAATATAAACAAGAAAAATTTACATTAAAAAATTTCGAAGACCATCCAGCAAATTATGCCATATATTCTAATAAGTACTCATAGCCGATTGGTATGTATAATGGTATTGTCAGCAACGATCAGAAAGCATTGGGCACGCAATAATTCAATATTAGCATTATGACATAATATAATAGCCCCACTGTCACTGTCACACGGCGAATCAATTCTTTTTTTTGTCCTTTGTCAATCATTTTAGTACATGTATGAAATGATATAGGCCTATCAACACCAAAATACTACCAAGAGTGTCAAATTGTCTTCGGATTCATGACAAATTATCATTTGGAAAATAAACAGAGGGAAAATTTCAGTTCAAAATGTGGGCCATTAGGGCCTATAGGAGAAATTCTTAGAGAGTGTGTGTTTATTTCTATTATTAAATCACCAAGCCTCATATTTCCATTTATCAAAAGAACTTTAATTGTCACTTTCTGAAGATTCCACAAATATATGTGAAATGGCAAAGAAAAAAAATCCAGTCTGAGCTCACTGTGATCTGGGAGTCGACATCATAAGTGGGATACCTTTATATTTGACATGGCTTTTAATTAAGTATTAGTATTACATATTGTCATAGATGTAACGAGGTTAGGACTTATTTGTTGTAATCTCTTATGATTAGGAATGTGGACCAACAGTAGTTGGAGATGAATGGAGTGATCAAGAATTAATGGAATATTTAGGTGCTACACTCTCTAAACAACTGGGAAATAATTTGTAAATATTCCTACTTTATTAAATTTTGTTTTATTTATTTGGACCATTTTATAGTTATTCCTGCATAATGAATTAAATTGCAATATATACTTCAAAATGTTTATTGTTATGTTTATACTTAAAATAGACTACTCTTGTTTATTTCTTGAATCGGACCTGGGTGTGTATGGATAATTTGCTTGATTATATTTTTTTAAAATTTCAGCTTAGAATACAAGACTCAAGACCCAGCAAGAATAGTACTGAATAAATTAGAAATGAAAGGATACAGAGTTGTAGGGATGTCAGGGTCAGGGCAGACTTGTATCTGGACATTGCACAAAGCTGAATATAATATCATCAATGCAGAGTGATAAGAGTACATCAACCAATGGAATTGAATGGTATTTTTCTACTGACTATCAAAAAAACAAGTCACAATATTTTGGTGAATTACTGGTGATGGGAACAGGCAGAAGATTGTTAAAACCTAATACATGCTTCATAATTTTCATGTGGCATCAGAGATCCTGTATCTTCTATGCAATATGATTTAAGGGGCAATATGATATAAAGATAAGATTGTGTGATTATTAAGATGACCAGTTAGGTCACTTATGAATGGCATCAATGCAAATAAAATATCTAAATTTTTTGCTCAGCATCTTTTTTGTTGTTGTCGTTGAAACTATGTAGTTACTTATGATAACCTGTAGAGAGTGATGGGGTATGGTTATTACTATTAGCTGAATTCATGTAACACTATGTCATCTATAATACTCTTGTCTAGTAGCAACTATACTGAACAGATAAGGAAATGTCACATTTTTAGATTATTTGGACAAAGTCGTGCACGATCAGAATTGTAATTTTTATATTAGAAATTTAGACTTTTAATAGGCCAGTTTACGACATTCAACTGACAATATCGATTACATTCGAAATTAGGTTACTTGACTGTACTACTCATGTTGCAAAGTTTACACCGAAGCACCTCAAAAATTTGTTTCTTTATTGTGCACTTGTTAGTTCATATCCAACCCAAATTAAGGTTTGTAACCTTGGAAAAAAAGATTAGGAGCTTATAGTGGTACTATATGTTACCGGTATCTGAAACCTTGTATAGTAGTTTCTCGTTCATTGAGTAGATTTTACTCTCATATTTTCAATTAAAGCAAACTTCCGGTGAAGATACGTTGCATTTGGTTTTAAAATTTGTATCGTTTATTTCTCCCAAACCTCTTTTGCCCAATCTTTTGAATTATTTTTTCTTTCATACCAAGTTAGCTATTTCATTCACTATTTTTCCCCCTTGAACCGACAATTAAATCTAGCGATGCTTGATCAAACAAACGAGTATGTTAGTAGGTTATGCCTCAATTTGGAAGACACTATTAGACCTATTTTCATTGTATCGTCATGTATGGCATGAGTCGCTATAATATACACACAAATCTTCATCTTTTCAAATATTTACGGATTTGAGATAAACTGTAGACAATATAAACTATATTATATTATACAATCGTCTATTCCCCGCCGCTATCTATTTATTATTATGTTTATGCTTGTTTGTTAATGCTTAAGTACTTTTGTATACAGCAATATTGTAATGTTACCAATTTATCACTTTATTCATGCGTGGTATTTGTGGTCTGAAACTTAGCTCAGTCTTGACAAGAGTCATCTTTTTGTTTAGAACTCTTCGTCTAAGGTCGAGAAGCCAATGAAGTCGAATCCAGTATTGGAAACAAGCGTCCCCCAATAGTGTCTAACGGGTCCGGTTTCACACCAGTGTTCCGGGGTGCCCATCTCCAGCCGAAAAACTCAAACACAACGGCTTATGACTCAGAGTCCAACCCGGAAGTGAGCGAAGGAGAGGAGGTATTGGAAGAGGATGTTCGATCTGAGCATTCCGACTCCAATACTTGCTTAACCCCTGGGTACGACTGGCAGGACGAATAAAAAACGCCTCGAACGGAACAGGATTAGACTCGTATCTATAGTACTGTCGCAATGGATCGCAGTCTCAAAATCCTATAGCATAACCTGAATGACCTTCGGGCCAGGCTCACTGAACTGACCAAATTCCTAAGTACCGCAAGGTACGAAGTTCTCTGTTTCCAAGAGACCAAGCTCTATCCTGGAGTAAAAGATACAATATTGCCCGGGTATCGTTTATCTCGACTGAATAGGCCTGGTGCCCATAGCAAATGTTTCGGTGGAGGACTCGCAATCTATGTCAGGACTGAATTATCATATCAAATACTAGTCCTGCACAGTGCGGAGTTCGAAGTCAACGGAGTGTCCTTCTCGCTTGCCAATGGAAGCTAAATTGCAATAGTCAATGTTTATCTGCCGCCTAGTAAGAATGTCATTGAACCACGGTCGTATCGAAACCTATGCGAACAAATTTCATACCGAAACGTCCTGTTCTGTGGTGACTTCAATTCTAAACACAACGCATAGGGATCGTACAAGCAAGACGAGCGAGGAGAGGGATTATTCCAATTCATTGAGGATAACGACATGTGCATACTTAACGATGGGAGGCCTACTTTGATTCATAACTCTTCTGGGGTGATGTCCCATCTAGACCTTACTATTGCAACATCTAATATAGCTTCAAACTGTGAGTGGTGGGTCAGTTCGACTGAAACGCTGGAAAGTGATCATCTATTGATAGATATCACTTACAGGGGTCAAATAAAGAGGGAAGGAACCGTTGGCAAACCAAAATGGCGAATCGCAAAGAAGGCAGATTGGATAAAATTTACTGAAAACTGCTCGCAATGGGACGTAAAGGATATACAGGGCGCCGATGTTGATGTGTACGCCAGCAATGTCACCATGGTCCTCATGGAGGCAGCCAAGGACGCTATCCCTAGAACCTCTGGCAAAAACAGGGCTTGTCCTAAGCCCTAGTGGTCGGACGCCTGCCAAAATGCAGTAAAGCTTTGAAGGAAAGCACTACGTCGTGTTCAACGCAACCTCAACACCGAAACAAAACGGGCATACTGTACTTGGAAGCCACAGAGAACGCCAGGAAAGTCATCAGTGAGGCTCGCACCAGTCACTGGCATGACTTCTGTCAAACGCTAAACCAGCATACCCAGATCAGGGATGTTGGGGCCAAAATTAAATCGACAAAATCTACCCGCGAAATCCCCGTAGTAACCTATGATGACAGAGTAGGAGAGAGCGATAGACAGAAGGTAGACCTAATGGCTGAGAACTTTGCTGACGTGATAAACACCACTTCCCCCGAATTCATAAATCGAAAAACTAACTTCGCAATGTGTTGACGCACAAAGATGAAAACGATCCACTGAATCTCCCTTTCACGTCTGATGAACTTCAGAACGTCTCTCGTCTAAAAAAGACAGTGCAGCTGGGGAGGATGAAGTCAAGTTAATCGACGTTGAAGAAATTGCCTCCCCAAGTTTCGAAAATCCTACTGAATTTCTTTAACGAATCTTGGACCAATGGCCACGTACCGACAAAATGGAAGACGGCATCGATTATACCTATCCTAAAGGCAGGGGGAGATCCCAATAAAACGTAGTTTTACAGACCCGTCAGCCTGACATCCACGTTATGCAAAATCCTCGAAACGATGGTAACACATCGTCTTCGGTATTACTTAGAAAGTAATAATCTTCTAGATAAGAATCAAAGTGGTTCAGAAAGCTTAGATCTACGGCGGATCACATAGTTAGGCTACAACACGCAATGTCTAAGATTGAACAGTTCTGGGTTCCTCTGTGCAGTGTTCGTAGACCTAACGAAAGCTTTCGACCTTGTCTGGACAGAAGGATTGATGCACAAGCTGCGGCAACTAGGAATAGGTGGTCGTATGCACAACTGGATAGCAAGTTTTCTTGCGGACAGGAAGGTACGTGTAAGCATAGGAAAGAGTCTCAGCGAAGAATTCAGTTTGGAAAATGGCACGCTCCAAGGCTCGGTTTAGCTTAATGGTCAATGATATCCGCAACCCCAAATACCTGTCAAACAAATGTCATATCGCAATGTTTGCTGACGACAGCACTTTTTGGGGGAATGGTACGTTATATACGAACCTTCAAGTGCGGATCCAAACATGTTTGGATCGCTTTGGAAAGTGGGCAAATGACTGGGGATTCAGAATATCCAAAGCCATAACGGTAGGAATGTTGGTCAGTAAAGACCCCCAGGTGACCGACATGCGACTAGTATTGGACGGCGAACGTATTCAATTCGTTAGTGAAACCAAACTACTTGGTGTAACCTTCGATAGAAAGCTCTCATGGGAACCTCACAAACAGATGTCAACTTGTGCTGAACTTAATGAGGAATATATCTGGCAATGAATGGGGTGCCAATGTTGTGACGCTCATGATGATCTATCGTGCGCTGATCCGGCCCATCTTGGACTACGGTTCACAGGCATTCATGACCGCCAGACCAATGCTCCTTCATAAGTTAGATGTCATACAGCGCTAGCCACCGGAGCAGGCATCGGCATAAAAACGGAGTCTTTACTCCAAGATGTTGGTGAGGTTCCTCTTCAAATCCACAGAGAGGAGTTAGCCCTTAGATACTGGTCAAAGTTGAAGCACCTTGGCGAATCATCTCGAGACCGCGGGAATCAGGCACGCCAAAAAAAAAAACGATGAGCTTCGGACAGTCAGTTTGGGATTCCGTTCGAAATATGGGCTAGATAGGTTGCCCATAAAGCCTCTTGTTTTTTCCCAAGTTGCTCTTTGGACGGTTTCGCCCCCCCATTGTCGACACCTCTCTCGCCTCGAGATTGGATAAGAAACGGGACGATCCTTGCATCGCTCGAATGATCGCCTTAACTCATATGGATGCAAGGTGGTCGGAAAGCATACGTATCTATACTGATGGTTCACATAACGCGGATGATGGTACAACGGGTCTGGGGATCTACGTCCCCTCGAGCAGCACAAGAATTAGCAAGCGATTGCCCAATAACTGCTCAGTGTGCACCTCAGAGATGCTTGCAATCCTTTATGCGGTGAAATATTCCACTGGCCACTACCATTCAAATTATGTAGTACTAAGCGACTCGCTAAGTAGCCTGATACTCAACGATTCCTCTAATTCCCAGGCGGAGCTAGTGGATGAAATCAGGCAAGCGTGCTCACTTGTACATAGTCAAGCAAATCAATCGAGTTGGCGTACCGTAGATCCCGTCTCATGTCGGCATACAAGGGAACGAAATCGCAGATGAACTCGCAAAAATAGGACTAGTGCTATCGGAGATTGTCCGGATAGACTACAGTTTATCGGAAAAAAGAAGCATGATAACGAAAAGCATCAATTCGACATGGGAGGCAACTCTCATAGATGCTAATGCATTCCGCTTCCGATTAAACGATAGCATTAGCAGTAAAGTTTTTTTTACACCACCCCTATCGACAGATCTGTCGAACAGTCGCCCGTCTGAGAATGATGGGTGAGGTACGAAATCACAAATACGAACTAAAGCTATGTCCCTGTGGTGAAGCTGCACAATAAACAACACAAACTCAGTGTGACATTGTCATAAACTGTTTCCAGAGTTTTGAACTATTAAGTGCCAATGTGTGAGTCACTCTTATATATATACATGTATTATATAATATGTAAAATTAATATATTGTCTTATCTTGAC